CCGACCGACAGAGGAGCATCTTGGCGGCAGGGATATAAAACTTTAACAAGACTCAAATTGACACAGGCAGAGTGAAAGACTGGATTTTTTCGATCAGGTAGGGTACAAGTGATTTCAAAACATTTCAGCCGGTTTATTTATTTATTTATTTATACACACACACACAGTATCTCAGAAGTGAGTACACCAGCTCTGTGATGTCGTCATGGAGGAGTGGAAGAGGACTCCAGTGGCAACCTGTGAAGAGGGTTAAGGCAGTGCTGGAAAATAATGGTCGCCACACAAAATATTGATACTTTGGGCCCAATTTTGACATTTTCACATATTTACAAAAATGTGAGGGGTGTACTCACTTCTGTGAGATACTGTATATATATATATCGTGTACATATTTATCTCGTATAGGATGCATTTGTTCTACTGGTCATCTTCAGCACGCGCAGCTCAAAACAGAAATGCAGATGTGTTCTTGAGCCTGAACATACACTCAGTCTCCTCTTCATATTTATAGCTGCACACAGGGTTAGCCGGGATCAGGGCAGAGAAACTCTGAGGAACAATGTCCACTATCCGCTGATGGTACGACAACCTGCAGGTTCATAATCAAGGCTCAGTGTAAATAAACAGAACAACATGCATTAACTGAGTCCATTCAGCAATTATAAAAAGCAATGCAACTGAATAAAAAGCTGTGTGAAATTTACCTCATACACTTTTCCAAAACCTCTTTAACAAACTTGGGTTTGGGCTTTTCAATGTCTTGAGTCAGGCAGTCAGCCCTGAAGAGATCAGAACTCAATACTTAAATATAATAAATACAACTTTTTATACACAAACAGACAATGCATAGCCTGTACAAATGATTCCCAGAGGAAACAGCTCATCCTCACCAGTCATCCCAGCTCCATCTGAACTGGAAGTTACTCAAATGATGCGAGAACCAGTTGATGAGCCTGAAACACAGAATAATCCACCACATTAAAGAAACATTAAAAGGACAACAGCTTTGAAGATTTTCAAGCCTCTGAAGTAAATGCTGCTAACATCTCTCTTTACTGTAATAAGAAAAGTTTTAATGAGGATTAAATTAAAAGTATGTCATCATAATTTCAGCCTTGGAAAATTCAGCTGGGTAACTATTTTCTCAGGATGAGATGTGTTAATGTGTTTTTTTAACCTTAAACCGCATAAACACATTTCATTACACCAAATACACAAAAAATAATGTTCTTTTTAGTAACATCATATGACCCCTTCAAACCTTTTGACATTTTGTTGTCAACAAAAATGAGTGGTTTTGCCAACTATTCAACTTCAAATTGAAAACTCACCGGTCTATACAGGTTGTGTTCATTGTGTCCAGCCTCATATACATCATTTCTGTGGCTTGAGCGAGCTGAATATCGGCAGATTAAAGAAAACTACAAGAGTAGGGGACAGTTATGTTTACATTTGAGACAGCTGTAGCACAATGTGTAGGAGGAATCATTTAAAAACACATTCTCACGGCTTTCAGTCAGAATGAAGGATACAACTTGTGGTAATGAGCCTGGTTGCAGTTTGCAGAGCTCAATGAGTAACGCAGTGTACATGACATCAATGTGAGGAGGACTGGGCAGCTGGAATAACTCACCAAATATCACCTACAGAGCCACAGATATAGCATTACACTGAAATAACATATCTAAGTGCCCATTTACTGCACTAACAGTAGCTAAAATATTTTGCCAAATTATCAAATAAAAATTACCAGCATCACATTCTTATTTACCTCCACAATATGGTAGTTAAGGGGAATCTTGTTTTTTCCAGGGTAGCTGAGCAATTGGGCAGCACTGAAAGAACAAAAGAAAGAGGAAAAAACAACACTTGAAGGCCAAGTATGTAGGCTAAGTTAAAAAAAAAAAACTAAAAGCAAAAAGTAATGCTATCAGCATATGAAAAGGACTGACCAGGTCTTCCTCTCCCTCCAGTGAGACTTGATGATGCAGCGCAGGTTCTCCTCAATCACAAAGCGCTCAACTGAATGACTTCCTGGCATCACTGGCCCCTGACAACAGACAGACATAAACACACCTACATATAGAAACAGCATCCACAAGAACATGAAACTAAACAAATTTAAAATAAATTAAAATAAAATTTATCAAACTGATTATGCATTACCTTTTTTTTAAGAAATAATACTTTTATACAAGGATGGATTAAATTTATCAAAAGTGACAGGAAAGGCATTTATAATGTTACAAAAGATTTATATTTCAAATAAGTGATTTTGAACTTTCTATTCATCAAAGAACATGTAGAATTGTTTCCACAACAATAAGTAGCACAACTATTTTTAACATTGGTGAGATGTGACTCATGTGAGATATATTATATATACACATATATAAACAATTAAACTGTAATAATAAACAACAATCCCTTCCCTACCTATTACTTTCTCCTTTCTCCAATAGTAAACACACTCTATAATGGCAATTAAAAGAATGCAGTTTCATGTTTTTAAAGGATGATGCATTTGTCTTCTGACATCCTATTACAGATCCAGTTAAAAAAAAGGAAGGACTAGATTAGAAACATTACTGCACCTCTGGGGCATCAGTGTAGTCGAACATTCTGAAGACGACATGGGGCATAGGGTAGACAGCGTCATCAGAGTGGGCTGGAGGTGTGAAAGGGGGCAGGTTGTGCTGCAGGGCTTCACACAGCACACTGTCAAACGCAATATAAGGCCGCAGGATGTGACGCTCCTGCCAGCGGTCCTTCTTCAGCTTCTGCACCTGAGCCCAGAGACAGTCCAGATACTACAGAGAGACACACAGAGGAAATTAATTACAGTGAAAGAACAGAGCAGCTCTCAACTGGTGGGTGGTAGGTCTGTTCTGATAGGGTCACTGACAAGAAGAGAAGAGAAAAAAAATCTATGCTAAACTGAAAAACTTACCATGTAATAGTGTATAGTTAGGAGAGCAAAATAATTAGGCTTATTAAAGGGATAGTTCACCCAAAAATGAAAATTCTGTCATTTAAACTCAGTCGTTCCAAACTCGCAAGAGTTTAATTAATCTTCAAAACACAAATTCACACAAAAAAACATATTTTTAATAAAACCTGAGAGTTTCTGTCCCTTCATAGATAAAGGCATTGTAAAATTAATCCATGGGAATCAAGCAGTTTAATCCAAGTCTTAAGAGGTACAATCACTTTATAGGAAGTACAGATATGATTTAGGCTTTTATTTACATATAAAACATATATATATAAAATGAATCAAATGTGATAAACAAGGATGAGAAAGCACCTTATCATTTGTTTGGTAATGTCAAAGATTGTGCATCTAATCAAACTCTACGGTAGTTGTGCAAATTCATCTGTCACTTTGTAGAAGCTAGTCAAATCAGACGGAAACCAAAATGGACTGGCTGCAGGACTCACCCACCCTCAAAATACATGAATAGAATACATCCCAAACTGCATTAATCACAAGTTATGGGTTTCTATTACTATTGTGTTGCCACTTGCTGTCCGATGTTTTAAAGCAAAACCAGTTGAAAACAACTGTGATTGACATTTTGTTAGTGTTTAAAGGTAAAGTGACAGGCATGGATGAAGCCTGACTCTCACCTCTTCCTGAGGGTGGGGCTTTTCTGCAGTCCACACCTGCAGCATGGAAACATGAGTCTTCTGACGCCGCCTGTAACAAAACCCAGATCATGACATTTCACAGCAGACTCCTCTGTATTCTGTCATCTACATGCATAATGCATTTGAGTTGACAAACATCACAATAATCAACATGATAAAATAAATTAGCACATACTATCCGCTAACGGAAGCTAGAGATTAAGGTTTATAATCTTTTAAATATGGATACAGGGGTTAAAGCAAAAAAAATCCTGAGCCTGAACTTTGCATTGTATTTAGAAATATTTTAACTAATCTAGGGCTGTAAGTAATGATTATTTTGGTAATCAAGTAATCTACTGATTATTCTGACAACTGAGTAATCTGATATTTTTTAGTAACAAACAGACCTAAGTGAAAACCAGGCTTTAGTATGACTATTTATATATAAACTAACGGTGAGGCAATAATAATTGGCTCAAATAAAATATAAAAA